ATTTCAGATCGATGTAGTAATTACCGAGACAATGGACTGTGGTTTATTAGGAGAAGGTATTGCATGTTCATTATATGATATACATACACGAATCTTGTCATCATCACCGGTTATTGTTCCTAGATGTGTAAGAGTTTTGCTTCATAAACTTTTTGCTCCTAATATTTTTAAAAATATAATATTCATACACGTTTTAAATTTTATCTTATTATTTTTGAATGGAAAAAGATTACAATCTTGCAGGCAACAGTGTATGCTTGTATCATTGAGAGTACAGCCATAATGGATGAACATGTGTCAGTTTTCTGTGGATGTCGCTTTGCTTCCGATAGCGTTACTGCATCTTACGGTATGTTTTTTTTTTGTATTTATATTAAATTATTTCTTGAATAATTTAATATTGCATATTTCCATCGTTTTCTTATCCGTTAGGAATGCTTGTAATTATTTGGCAGTTTAACTTCAAGTCATTTCTAATTAATTATAGATACTTCTGGAACATTAGGTGAGCTTGAACCATATTGGTGTTGTTCAGCGGCTGAAATTCGCGGAGGATACAAAATTTTAAGCAAAACTATTGAAATATTTGCTGTCAATTTTGATAGTCGTGCAGAGCTGCATAAGATTGTTAACACTGGTATCACAGAGCTGCGAATGACTCCCATAATACGTGATGGCACTGCCCATTGCATCATGGTTTGGTTCAGGTTTGTTCTTTGACTGTATTGAGCATTTATTAGAAACACTGTTTAATTTGGATAAAATAAGTCCTCAATTGAAATTTTGATTATTTTTTGGAGCAAAGCAAAAGAAGAAAAAAATTAAAAGAAAAAATTATCGGAAAAGAGAAAGATGGTATCATCTGTTTGAATTACATTAATTTGTAAATTTCTTTTTTTTTTTTTTTTTTTTTTTTTGGTTGTATTTCACTCCAAGTTAATTATCACATTAACCAAAATGTGATAATTAAGCTTCTTGAAGCTTTCAATGTTGAATAATAATATTTGGAATTTTTTTAAGCTGTTTATTGTTTCCTGGTGCACCACTTCTCAACACAAGTCCAGAAACAACCGGTTGTTGGCAGCAAGCATTATATCCCTTACCAAAACCAATGAGCTTACATCGAGGCTGCATTTGTACATTGAAAATTAAAGCTTATAAAGATCAATTGTTGTGTGCTCTAAGAGATATTGTTATTCCGGAAGATCCTGAAATTGCTGAAAATGTAGAACAGCCATGCAGTAGTGACAATGGTAACAACACACTATTGAAAGGAAAGAATATGGAACAAGAATCAAAAGCTGACAAAGACGAAAGCTGTGTACTGCCATCGAAACGGAGCAGGCATGATAGCGACACAAGTACCAGTATGATAATTAGTTATAAGAATTATGCATCACCGGATACTATTATTGTTCTACCTAATAACGATTTCCCAATGATGAATGACAGTCAACTAATACATTTTTTCAAGCGTAGTTTGGCTGATATTAAACGGCAAGATGAAATGTTAAATCGAGACCGGGATTTCTATGTCCTTGATATAGCTAATTTGGGTGCACTATCGATAGCTTTGGTGAATGCTTTTCCGGAAGTGAAATTTAGTTGCTATAACAATGATGCCCATAAATTGGTTCATCTTTTCTCTCCCCATACCCACAATTTTGGAGCATTCCCAGACAATCAGGGTTAGTTGTTTCCTTTTTTATATCAATTTATTTTCATTTTTTTTATCACTTTTTTTTGTCAATTTATCAATATTTCCTTTTTTCTTTTTTTTTTTTTTTAATCAGTTTTATTGGTTCAATAAAAAGGAAGCAACTAAACGAAACTTCCTGATAATTCTTGTTTGTTCCTTATGTATTTGGGTTATTATTTGAAGATAACACTGAATAAGTGAATAGTTTTCTTTCACCTTGTAGATTTATTCTAAAAACTTTTGTGTTTTGTATCTTTTTCCACTTGCAAATGTTAGATTAGGTATAAATAAAGGAGAGATTAGAGATCGTTATACCAGTTTCATTTATTTTATTATCTATTAATTTTCAAGTACTTCAGATTCTCTCTTGACAGATGGAAGTATAACTGAGAATGGCTATCCGCTGATATCATCTAAGCCACCTCGTACTTATTTTGAGGTAATATTCTTTTTAAAAAGATGTATAGTTTTACAGTTCACTGTTTATACTTTTCTCCATCACTTCATTTCTTGTAGGATGCTGAATGTTCGGATGTACTAATATGTTGCCCAGTTAGTTCTCATGGGTTTCTTCTGGAAACATCGCTAAATCGTATACTCAGTTTCCGCCTTTCAAATGGACAAGCGCACATTATTCCAGCAAAAATTTCGGTTATGGGTCAAATTGTGAGTTGTCCTGATATTGTCAAGCGATGCAAACCATGTCCTTCGGCATATCAAGGAGTTGACCTCTCAGCAATCAATGATCTCGCTATTTCATTTTATTATGACATTGAGGTATTTTGGATTCTCACGTTAAATGTAGCTCACTTCTGTTTTGAAATTTTATTATTTAAGAAAAACTTGACCGTTTGTTTGAAGTTTATGAAAAGGACAGCCTCTCTTCATATCTGCAACTTTAGCATATTTCCAGATAATCCAGACTAAACACTATTCTAATTCAAATGCATTCTGCTTTATTTCAGCTTTCCGTTTTGAATCATGAAGTATTTTCTGATCCATTTGAACTTATGGCCTTGCGATTTGACAAGGTTCAAGTTCTTTTATTTGTTAAAATACGCCGTCGTCAAAGCGCTACCGTTAAGGCGATAGTGTAAATAATGAAAACTGTCTCTTTTCCAAAACAATTTTCATTATTTACAAAATTTATCAAATTCTTAGAACTAGAAAAAAAAAACATTGGAAAAAATTTGGAAGAAATAGGAAAAAAATTTAAACAAACTGTTTTCTCGTGTACTACGAGATGTTTATGTAGTAGTCTCATCCTACTTGTTAGTCAACAGATATGTTATTCAGTTGGATGAGATAAATTTCTGAATGTTAACTGAAGCCATAAATGATCATAGTTCGGCTTATCTGTGATTTCTTTGCAGCCAATGCCAGTAAATCCATCGGAAATGCCGGAATTTATTTGCCTTACCGAAGCACCATCGGAAGCCATTATTAATGCTGATGGTGTAGCGGAAGGTTTACTATTTTGGTTTGATGTCGAAAGTGGCAAACAGTTGTACAGTACTCGATCTTCCAATACCCTTGCTCGTTGCGCCTTATATTTATTTGATGCAGGTCGTAAAGTATCAAAAAATGATCGTATCGCCATCAAATCATCCAACTATCATGGCAATTTTGCCTTTGAAGTATTGTGATGTAATGAAGACATCTAACCTCGAAATAGCATTACAAATCAGTTTAAGATTAACTGTTACGGCTAATTGTAATTATTCCTGAAATATTTTCTGTTCTAATAATAAAGATCATTTTATTAAAATTTGTTTCCAGTCATAAATTACATAAGTAATTTAATTAAATAATTATGAGATTGATATATCTATAAAAAGACTAAATATATCTCTCCTTTCATATTTCTCAAAAAATTGTTCAATGATGGTCTCATACGCGTCCTAGCCAGTACTAAACCAAAAAGGTTTATCAACATGTAGTTATTCACATACAGTATTAAAATTTAATAACTAAATTTTTAATTAACCATATCACGAGATCTATTACAAAGCCCTTATCAATACATGATTAATATTACTGCTATTGACAATTATTTCAAAATGTTATTGAAAAATAAACTTTAATTTCAATAAATTTAAGCAGAGAATATTTCTCAATGACATGATTGCCAATAAATTTAAAAGATTTGAAAATTAATTTGAGAGAATTATTGTTGGTATGAGCAACAATACTTAATTTTTGTCGAGTAACGATATACTTTGATTATTGATATCATATCACTAAAATATCGAGATCATTTATCTATTCTACGTCCAAAGAGAGTATTTTTGCATTTCGATGATAAAAGTATTTGTGTCACTTTATATGCCTTTCATTTTCCTTAAATTTCATCTCCATTAGAAAGTATTGCTGAGAATTGTGAAAATTCGTAGTTTAATATATCATCTCTTTCTGCTGAAATAAAGTTTTTTTCTTTCTTCAATTGAAATTCACAAATTTTGATTTTGAAAATCTCAGCAATTAGCACTTTAATTTGCTAAAGATGAAGTAATTATTTTGTTTTTAATTAATTATTGTGCATCATAATTGCTAGAATACAATCAGTCATTTACATAAAAACTTATTAAATATATCTGTTTTTAATTGATGCAATCAATAAGTTTTAATATTAAATTAGATTGATATAACCTTGTAAATATGAAAATGATAAAGAACTACGAGAAATATCTTAAACTGGTGCAATTAGTAAAAAAAAAACTTAAAAAACGATTATTTATTTTAAGGTTTTTTAAAAAAAGATTATTTATTATAAGTACAAAATGCATGATAATATTATAATTTCTTTAATTGTAACAAGCATGCTAATATGCCTATTATTTCATTTACTATCATCTTATTAAAATTATTTAATCTTTATTTTCAATAAATATGCTTTGAAATAGCTAAATTACATTTGGATAAGATGTTTCTTCAATACTCAATCGGAAATAGAAGTTCGTTGCATCTGTTTAATATCTTCAGGAAATGAACTTTTTGTAATACTTCCACTTATTTATAAAATATTTGATAGATATTGATAAATTTAATATATAAATTATAAATTACAAATTATCATTTTTCCACTACTGTGGTTTCTAATTTTTAAAAAAATTTTCAGACTTTCAATTTTTTTTCGTTGCCATTTTATCTAGAAAATAGACATATAAATCACTGATCTTTTTAATAAAAAATATATAAATTACATAAATTAATGAGAAACGAGCCATTTGACCCATACTTGTAGCTTATGTTAGCTATCAGAAATCAATCGATGATCAATGAATCGTTTGATCATCGATAATTATCGATACAAAGTCCTATGATCAATGCATCTGGAATTCTTGAAACATTCTCCTGGCCATACCTTATTGTCAAATATATTGTCACTGTAATTTGATGTATTTAAATCAGATTTTCAAACAAATAAAATAAATATTAAATTTTAAAATTTCAATTTTTTAATTTAAAAATTTCAATACTTCAATATCTTTTCATCTGGTGCAATTGTAATAGAAATAATTTGTGATGATTGATCGCTGTTTGTTTGACGTCTTAGAAATCGTTTGAAAATCATTAAAACATTTAATTGCCATAAATTAAATGATCCAAATGCTGTCGTTAAAATGATTATTACTATACATTGCACAAAATATGATATTGTTTTTTTCGTGTGAAGTGCTGCAAATAAATCTTAAATTTATTTATGATTTATTCTAAATGAAATAATATTTTTTTAAAACGAAGTATTTTTAGCTTTAAAAATTCTGTTATTAACTTTCTGAAAAATTAGAAATTCTAAGATCAGTATTACTTTCATAACTTATTATTATTACAAATGTAGAATGCAGCTGATCAGTGAGCTGATGTTGAATAAAAAAAAATATGATATTTTTCAATTTTACTTCTACTTTCCAAAATAAAAATAAATTAAATGATCAGAGGTAAGTTTGTTGTGATTGGCTAAGTACTCCTATTAACTTATTAGGTTAATTAAAAAAAAAAAAATGCATGGCATTTGAATTCTTTTTCTTGCCCTTAAACCATAAAATTAACATCAAACATTTTATCGACTGATCGACTAATTCGAAATTTTTGTAATTTTATAATTTAAAAGACAATTGTTGATAATGCTAAACCTTTAAGACGTACGTGAAACAATAACCTTACTTTGTTTATTAGGTATTTGTAGAATAACGTAAGTTAGATTAAAAATCAAAAGAAAACTGAAAACAATGAGTAATTAGCAAGTGGTAGCAAAATTAAACTTTATTATTTAATAATTGGAGGCTATGATGACAAGCCGAAAATTGGCAATGCGAAGAAATATTTAATAGTTGAATGTCTTTCATGTTCACATCTTTCTTTTGACCTTTAACCTAACTTGCATTATTTCACAAATACTCAACAAATAATTGGTAAAAGGATATTTGAATTACTTTTTCCTTAATGAATTAGAATTATTCAGCTATTTCAGATATTATTAAATAAATTTTCACATCACAAACACTCGAAAATTTTTCTTTCTTTTTCTTTTTTTTTTTTTTTTGGAAAAAAAAAGGTTTTCAATCAAAAAAACTTACTGTCAAATATCCAATTTAAAACCATAATAATATAATTTGGTTTGAAAATGAAGAAATATATGAAGAAAAGATCGAAATATAGCGTAAGAATTAAATGAAACCACTGCAAATATATTATAAGATGAAATTACGTTAAATTTAAGTGAATTTTGAATCAACCAATAACAGTGCATTAATTAATTTGATATAGTTGACATGGTTTTAATATGATTTGATAAGAAATCAACTGAAATTGTATTTTATATCATAATTATCACTGGAATTGATTATCTTCCATTTATTGTCGTAATATTAATCGATTATAACGCAACTGCTTTGCGATATTCGCAATTTTCTGCGATATCGCAATGAGAATACATAATTATTCAATACAATTAATAAATATATTAAATCAATTCTCAGAATGGCTAAAAAACATTTGTTAAACTATTTAATTTAATTATTCGTCAGCTAATTGATTCATCATTAATTGAATTTCTAATAAGAAATCAATAATTTCAATCAAGATTCAAAGAAATAAACTAATTTTCACTCTTAAAAAAATATATTTTGAATATTTCAGATGAAAAAAAAAAAATTGTATTAATAAATGATCAAATGCAATAGTTCTAATTTCAGGAATAAACGGAACTGTTATAAGTGAAAGTGTAATTAAGGAACTGGTTGATATATCTTATCGTTATCATTATCAGTGCTCGTTATTGATTCTTATCATATGTTATAACTGATCATGAAATATTATAATTTGCAATTTCATAGAGCAAATTAGCCTAAAGGTATGTCTAATAGGCGCAATTTGCTGTACATTGTCCGAAATAATCATTTTCATTTCCATTATGATTAAAAATAAAAATACAATTGGAAATGGAGAACTTAATAAATTGTTTGAAATTTATTAAAATTATTTCTTTCAGCTGTCATTACTTTCATCATTGATCATTATTACTTTTTTTATGAACAAACTTTCTTGTCGTCTTATTATCATAATAAAAAAATTTTTTTTCAATTATTTGAAAATATCTATCAGATAGTACAGAAAATGCTTAATTTTAAAATATTGCAGAAATAAATGGAAACTAATTTTAAAAAAAAAAAGAAAAGAAAAATTTAGAAAGAATTATTATAGAAATTTTACACTAATTACTTGCTTAATTTTTTTACAATTTTCAATGTTTGCTTTAATTTTTCTTCAACTTTAAAATAAATATTTTTTTAAATATGAAAATTTCGTCGTTCGTTTTCATAACATACATTAAATAAATTGTGAGAAAAAAATTGGATTTTTGTTTTCAATATAACAAATAAGCAAGCAAATGAAAAAAAAGAATCACATAAATTAATGAATAAGTAAACAAATAAGATAAATAAAGCTTATATAATTGGAATAAATAAATAATTAAAATTATATTATCAGTATGATTCTTGATCTATGATTATTTTTTTTTTTTTGAAATAATTATCAAGATTTCTTTTTTTTTCACTCAGATTATTATTTCTGTTTATAGTTTCTAAGATAGCAGTAACTCACCGAAATACCGATCATAGGCCAAAGATAAAAATGTTTTCGTCGTAAAATGCCATAAAGAGTCGTTGAGATTACTGTTATTGGAATTATTATGGCTAGTATAGCTGGTCGAAAATACATAATAATTAATATTGAAACAGCTAATGTTGATAACAATCCAATTATCACAATCAATTTGATGCTATTCTATAAATAATATTATCCAACAGATTTGATACTATTAAGTTATGTGAAAATATATAAGTTACTTGAAAATATAAATAAATTTTAATTGTTATATAACAATGAAGAAATGTTTATCAGGTATATTGTTGAAATAACTTATAATATAAATTGATATAACTGATTAAATCAAATATTTCATAAAGAAACTGATAATTTTTTTTGTCAGAATTGATAAAAGGAAAAAATGATAAATAACAATTATCAAACATTTTGAATGTATTTACATATTTTTATGAATGGAACGAATAGAATTTAACTAAAACAATTTGTCTTGTAAAAAATAAAATAATATAATCAGTTTAATAAAATATAAAGAAAACAAAAATTTAAAAAAAAATACGAAGGAGGAAAAAAAGGAACTAACAAGCAAAGAGAGACAACCGATCGTAGTATCTAAACTTATCATGCTATCACTGCTGATAATATTGTTGACTGTTTCTCCGGATCGCACTTTCTTTTTCATCTTAAATTCAAAAGTTCTGATAAGTTAATCTTATGAATAATTTCATTTTTTAATACTGTAAAAATTGTACACATAATGCCAAATGAACAACGAATCAGTGATAATAATTATTATTGTTATCAATAGATTATAAGACGAAATATTCGGAATGCTTATTCGATTACAATAGAAAAAAAAAATGCTAATTTATTAAATAATTTTGCCAGTTTAATTTTCAATTTCGTTTCTTAGAAAGTTATTTTTTAGGAAAAATTGATACAATTATTGCTTATAAAAATCACTGAAGTTGAAATTTAATCAACAAATGTCGTTTTTTTTTTTTTGAAAATACTTTCAGAAAATATTCAATTCAAAATGATAATTGGATTCTTTGATCCTATTATCTTTTGATTTCTTTCTAATTTGATTCCAATACATGAAAGAGACATGAAAACAAGCTAGAAAGTTTTGCATAGAAGGATTTCCAGAAAAATCTAAAAGGTTCCGGTGCATTAGCAATTACTAGCTTCTTCTCTACTACCATATTAGCATTCTGATATTAAATTATTGATAATTGTGAAATTTTAAAATTTATTGCTTTAGGCAGATTTGCTACTCTAAATGCAATTAAAGTATTTGAACTGTAATTGGAAAGCACAGTGAGTAAGTTGTGTTCTAGGCCTATTTTATTAAAAAATATTAAAATTGATCATTCTACCTATTAATTGATTTGTTTATATAAAAAATTGAAATAATAATTGAGAAAAAAAAAATGAAGTTAGAGTATTAACGAAGTATTTCTAACTTTGCCATCCACTGAACTTAATTGATTTAAAATCAAAACTATTCATAGAATAATTAAATTTTATCTTTTATAAAAAAAAAAAAGCTTATTTCTGAACTTAAAATGTAACAATAGAATATGTTATCATTAATAGATACAACAAGAATTATAAAGAGCAAACTTAAAAGATAAGAAGTGCCATTTTAGTTAGTACAAATGCGCCAGACAGGTTCTATGGTTTAGCGCATGTTATATTGTTAAGTAACAATGGTTGGCGTTATTGTGTTAGAGAAGATAATGGAGAATTGATAAGAAGTGATTTGTTTGAAAAGGAAATGAAAACTTGAATGTTGCAATTATTATCATTGATATTATCCAGTGGAACTAAACTTTCAAACATTTATAATTTTACCTAAATATACCGCAATTTATTGTGCAAAATTTTAATGAGAAAAACGAGGTTTGTATGAAAAAAAAGAAAAAAAACAGCTTATTTAAATTTAAAACAAAGAAATTATTTAAATTTAAGCAGAAAAAAACTAAGAAATTAAACAATTTCGTTCATAGAACTTCGACAAAATAGCTGCTAAGAAGCACAAAAAGAGAAGAAAAAGAATGATTGAAAATTATTTCAGTTAGATCGAATTTCATTTTTAAAAAGGAATAGAAATTTTTAAAAATATTTCAAGTTCCAAACAAATTATTGTCACATGCAAGAAAAGTTAAATAGAAAATACTTAATATTTAACGAAAGAATTGTGCTTGATGATAAATATAATGGACAAACATGAGATGATAAGAATAAAATTTAATATCAGGAACAAATTTTGGAGTGATAACAAAGGATGAAAACAAAATTGAAAAGAATAGATGAATTTATAATGCTAAGATGATTATAGAAGATTTGATGACTTCAGAATATTAAGATGATTATTATTGTTACTGTTTATTATTATTATTATTTATTATTCAAAATCAAAAATAATTTCTGGAATTAAAAAAGGAAATATTCTGACAATAATTTCTCAGCTTATACAAATTTTTCCCTCACCAAACACATTTTTTTTTAATTTTCAAATATTCTTACCTTCTTATTGTATTTGGTGAGAAATTTTTTTTCCCGAAAATATTGCTCAATTTTCGGCATTTTCTCAGGTAATTATTTTGATAGAAAAAAAATTTTTTTTTTATTTGAAATATGAAACACACATGGAAATGAAATTATTTGCTTCTCAAAAGAATTAGCAAGCAAAAACATGAAAATGAGACTTTCTTTTTTATTCAGTAATATATTCATTTAATTTCATTCCTTATGTAATACAGCGTATTCACATTATTAATAATAGCTGAATTATCAGTTTAATTTAATTAAAAATTCAATTTAATATCAGTTCAAGATATCTTTAAACTACAAGAAGTTCATACATCAAAAAATGAAAATCATGGTGAGTGATCAAAACAAGAATCACCAGTACTGGGTTTAGAAAATTTTTTAAACCGATAAAATTTCTCCTTGCCTTTACTGATCTCAATTTTTGGAATACTCATGGAATACAAACATCATTCATGTTTGAGGTGAGATTCATAAATACAAAATTCGTTGCTTATAGGGAATTCTAGTTTGTTTTATGCTCTTTTCTAATATTTAATCTTTTCTACAATACTCTCGACCCGGCTTAAATTTGCTTTAAGCAATCCAAATAAGCTTTAATCCTAAACGAAATTCGAAATCTGTCAATCGATATTTATTGATCGGTTTTGAGAGAACTATTTCATTGACGGAAAATAAGTGAACAGATATGAGATTTGAAGAAAGTGTCAGTTATGGTCTTTGCAGCATTCTTTTTAATTTCAGCATGAAATTGAAAAGTTTTTCTTTTTATGCAAATTTAACAAACAAACGTGTACGTACACGTACATAACTGTATACGTAATTGTTGTAACTCAAAAAGCCTCCCAAAGAAAACGAAAATCAGGAATTAGTGTCAATGATTACTTTTATTGATACTTCGTCATACTAACATCCGTAAACTAGTAAATGACTACAGCATTCAACTTCTAAACCAACCAATAATCTAATTATCATCAGTAAATTGTTAATAAGTTAGAGTAAATGCAAGTGAGTGTAAACTGTTTACATCCATCTTTGTAAAATTAAAAGAAAAAATTTCGCTATTAATCGATGATTATGCGAGAGCTAAAATTCTTGGAACTGCTAAATCAATAAATTAAAATCGAAAATTCATGTCTTTTTTTTTGACACCAAATCTCAACACCTGAAATTAAGACTTTGCATATAAGTACGAATTATGCGTAATAACAGCAACAAAATGGAATAACAACAGAACTGATATATCTTAATTATATGAGTTCATAGAGACAAAAATAGATGAAAATAACAAAACCAAAATTCAATTCAACTTTGACAATTGACAGTAACATTCATATGGGGATCAATTATAATTCAAATCTCGAAAAAGAAATATAAATCTAATCAATTGTCATATGGCAATTTTCATCATATGGAAAATTCACTTCCCAGATTACATTTGCTAAACATTCTATAATTGATACTCCCTGATATTAAGGTTGTAGAAATCACTACAACATTTAAGATATATCATTAAGATATCTTTATAACTTTCGGGAAGATTCGTGAATCATATTTGCTTGTTACAATCAGAATATTAAGTATTCATAGCCCTGTCCATGTCATTGTTTTTAAAATAATTACGCTCTCAACCATCACTATATTCAAAATTTTATTGGTTTCAGAAAATAAAATACTCTGGACTAATAAAAAAAGTTTGCAGTCATAAAAAATTCAAAATAGTGATTCTGGTGGGAGAACCTACATCATCAACTGAAAGATGTAAGGATGAAAAAGAATGAAAAATTAAAATTTTCTCATTGTCATAACCAATCACAAAAATAAAAAAAGTAAGTTTTACCAAAGTAAATAACATAAGACCAGAATCACCAACTGTATCATTGACTGACCGCTATTAACAGTTAATTTTAAACTACTGATTTAAGCTGTTATTCTAATCTTAAATCGCTGTTTTCATAAGGAGCAAAAAAAGTTACAACTTTTTGGTCTTTAATTTCAAAATTTTAAGATTTCTGATATTATGTTACGAATCAAATTTCCAATGTATTGTGATAATAGGAAAAAATCAACAGTCTAAGATGTAAAATAAAATATCTGCATCGAGATCATTCTGAATTCATCAGGCATCATTTGGCAATAGCAGCAACTAATGGAACCAAACGCTGTTCACTGCGAGAGCTTAAAACGCATAACGAGTTCGGATATCTTCCAGTTTTTTATGAATCTGAAAAACAATTAAAATTAGTTAGGGAAATCCACATTTGATCTGCTATGGACAATTTTTCACAATTATTTTGAGTCAGAAAATTAAAAATTGTATTTAGCGTGTGTTCTGATTTTAAAAAAATGGATTGTTTAAAATTGGAAATGAAATAAAATTTCATGCAATACTCGAAAATCTATCCTCAAAATTTAATTGACATAGTCAAACAATTTTCAACCCTTTAAAATATTACTGTTAAACATTTTGCCTTCCAAAGAAGTTATCATAATTCTCAAAATAAAACTCTCAATTAAAAATACAATAATAACCTCAGTTGGCTTCCTTCCCAGTTCTTCACCAACTGATTTCTGCTTATCCAATGGCATTAGCGAGTACTGCTCGCAGAGATCACCATCAATAACTGACTAAAATTTACAAAAACATACTGTTTAGATATCAATTGTTTCAATATATTCACTATATGTTCAGAAAAATGTTGCAACTTGGACTCTGAAGAATAAAGCATAAAAACAGCTTCAACAGCCGATTTTTTTTTTTTTTGATTATCAATTGATTCAATTCAGTACAAATACCTTAACAGGGAAATAGTAGGAACGATACGCAAGATGATCACGACCACAAAGCGGCGGATATTCCACTCTCATATGCATTTCAAGATTTTGGAAAAATTCAAATTCCTATAAGAACAAAAAAGTATGATTCTTTAGAATCTTCAGAAAAATTCAAATTCCTATAAGAACAAAAAAAGTATGATTCTTTTTGTTCTTATAGGAATTTGAAACTTCTTCAGAAGTAGTTGAGAAGAAATTTCTTGGTTAAAAGATAATGAAGGCAACGTAAAAAAAAAAAAAAACAGAAAGTTGAAGCGATAGCAATCAAATAAATAACCACACTAAAACCGATTGGCAAACAAGTTCACAAGCCAACAGAGATTTAAATAAATTAGTAAATAAACGAAATTAAAATTCCCAGCAACGAAATTAATAAGACAAAGCAAGGAAAACTTATAGCTTACATCTCTGGACATGAATGGCACCAAAATTCCAATAATTCCTGAAATCGTTGTATAGGAAAGGCAGTCATTTGCACCTGGTACTAGGGATGTCTTCTGCATTGATGTTATCGCATCGCCAATATAGAGATGAGCTATGGCTTCCAACTGCAAAATAAACAGAAAATTCCCAAATTTTTATTTGATTATTGACCTACTTATTTAATAAAAAATTGAATTTTTAAAATTTGCTTAATTAATAGACTAGGCTAGCAACGAGATAAATGAGAATATATCAACGCAATCAAAGTTCCGTCAGCATTAATATTTCGCCAAAACGAACAAACGTTGGAATTTTATTCTACTGCTACTAATAGTACATCAAATAAGTAACCAAATAATTTTAAAAATTTGTACACAAGTAAATAAATGAATAAGTAAAAGATTTTGGGGAAGATAAGCAATGAGAAGGAAACAATTAATGTCAAATATATGCATGGCAAGAAATTTTATTTAGAAACAGGGTATTCCAACTGAAAAAAGCATACCTTTTGCGAAGCTCCATTCAGATTTCCTCGATCCCATAGCGCACGTACACCAGTCGGATCTTCTTGCACCTCTTCGGTTACACCTTTAGGTAGTCGTAACTGAAATGTGAGGATTTAACAGTCTGAAAATTCAGAATTTACAATGGAAATTGAAATGCAGCTAAGAAGAACAGAAATTGAAATTTTAAAGATATTAGAAAAAAAAAATCAGGTAGCAGGAATCGTGATTTGAAAATGGACACTTTGAATTCACTCTAAATTCTTCAATTATTCCTAAAATTCTAGAAGCGAATAACACTATCAATCAAATATTATAGAAGCTATCCATTACCTAACTTAAATGCAATGCTTACTTTTAAAAAATAAACTTAGCATACTCTACTTTTGTATTACTTTATTAATGTACCGCTTAACTACTAATTTAATCGTAAGAACAATTCTTATATTAACTGTTATAATTGTTTCGAAATTTTATTTTTATCTTCTACTTTTTAAGAATACTTTTTCACCAATTTCAAATCTTACTTATATACTGCTGGGAAAAAACTACTGCATATGAACATTTATGGATTAAAAATTAGAAATTGTCCAACAGATTTCCAGAAATAATAAACACTTAACATATAAGTTTTGAATTCTAAGTTATTTAATTCGAGCTATTCCCTGATTTTCATCATCAACAACATCTACCTTGCATTAATTATCCAACTAGTCAACATTATACTGAATCTTTTCACCATTTGATCAGCCTATCAAAACAAAGAAGCCAATTTAGCATGACTTTTCGCTCTCATAACTAAGCTAGAGTTATTGCTAAGTACAACAAATTACTGGTGCTTCTCTTCGCTGTTCGTTTCTGAAGAAGGCTGGCAATGATAGACAAATGAAAGGAAAATATATATATATATATGAAAAAAAATCATCATGAACAGAAGAATCTGGATAGATCAAAAAAAGCAAAAAAAGCAAAAAAAAGCAAAAAAAAAAAACTGCACTTTTCACTGTCAATTGATACTTCGTTGCCTTTGGCAATATCAAACTGTTTAAATGTATTTTAATATTTTGCCCAAATTATTCGATCATAAAACAAACAAAAACTTTAGGAATTTAACAGGACTTATATAATGTGCTTTCATTTAAATTTTCTAACATTCCAAAGGTTTTCAGATATTACTAGAAAGTTAGAGCAAAGAGTTTCAATAAATGATAAGAGAAAAAACACAACATAGAGATTGACACATAGAGATTGTCTATTAAAAGTTCACTTTTTTGATGTCATGGTACTAAAAATATATTGGTTTCTTTCTTGTTATTTGTTTTTAAACTTTAGTCAAGCAATGTGATATGATTTGTAATCAGTTCAAAGGTGCAATGTGTCGAAGAAATGTTGCTAATTAAACTTACCACAGCAACATTTCCAAAACGATCTCCAACCGCAACTGTGTCATAATCCAGCAGGCATACACAAGTTACGTAACGTGGAGATGTTTCATCGCAGAATATCGACAACTGACCATCCTTCAATAAAAGATTCATTTATCAGTTCAACCTATTATCATCTCCAAGTTTCATCAAAACTCTGATTAAATGCCAGCAAAATGACCTGTTTTTTATAACGCATGAAATGCACCGATTCCTGTGAATCACTTACAACAATACGTTGTCCCATTGATCGAATATCAACAACTTGTGTAGGTATCTGCTGCAAAAAGAAAGCTTTATAAGCATTATGTCATGATAATAATATGATAAAAAATGTTTAACTTGGGATGAGATTATTATATTTCCTGAAATTAAAAGGATAACAGTAAGGAAAGACATGAAGCATTCAAAGAAAGCAATCACTTGTATCAAAAATAGCTGTTTTCAATAAACAGAATTAATTAATATTTCCTTTCATTATTACTTTGTTGAATTTCATTACTGGAAAAATTTGAAAGAACAAAAAATTTCTTTAAGTTTTACTGCTTCATAGCCCTAAGCTTCTCTCTGCTGAAATAAATCTTATAGCACTTTTCTCAACAAACTTCAGACCATCTTTTTGAACGGTATTCCAGAAAATACATTGCATATTTATTTGCTAGCTATTTTAGAAGAGAATCACTTCCTAACTTTCCTTTTAAATGTGAATATATCATCAATTTTCAGTGAGAAACTTAATTTCATTTTTTTTTTGTGACGAAAAAACATTCTTAAATTTTCATGGAAGTAATGAAATTTGTTTATGTCATCCCGTTCAAGGAACTTAACAACATTATGAACTTTCACAATTCTCAAGTATAATTTTCTTTTACACTTTATCTTATTCCATTCTATTTCACCGTTCACAGTCTCTTATTAATAAAGACTCAAAAAACCTTGAAAATTTCTTCCAAAATACTTGGAAAAATATTAGAATGTTAAGTCCCTTGGTAAAGCTGGAGTTTAAGAATCGATCCCAAGCTCAATCTATCCTATTCGCCTGCTCATTTTCAGTTAACAAAAAATACGGTAATTTAAAAAAGCCAGTACATCGAAAGCATCTAGACAATAACTACTCAGCTTATACAGATTTATATTCATTATATATAGACAAAGATATAGATTGATATAGATAAATAGACATGTCATCTTATCACTTTTTCTTTAACAAGATAGTTAACAATATTTTTTTAATATAAGTAATGCAGCTCACTGTTTGATGAACAACTAAAAGAATTTAAGTGAATATAAAAACGAATGGTGTTTGTAAACAGTGGAGTAGATATATCATTTATAAGACTTTCACATTGATTTGAAAAAACTGCAGAATTCATAATAACAAACATGGGAAATACATTACTAATATTTTCAATCGCTATTCTAACCAATTTTGATCTTTAATTTACTCAAACCTTATCTTTTACGTTAATTTAGAAATCTGAACTCAGGAAAAATTCGGCTCCAAATCTATTATTTATTATTCTCTCAATCGTAATATCAGGAACTGTTTTAAGGAATTACTTGTCTATTTTACAATAGCATTCTTAGTGATTTCAAAGTAAATTCTAAGTTTGAAATATTATCTCCGCATAAATTTATAAAACTATAGAGAAGTTTTTATTTTAGTCGATTCCTCTATCCTTTCGATTTTAGTCAATATCTACTTTATTATCTAATTCCAGTAATCATTTTTAAGAAAAAAAAAAAAACAAAACCTTTGCATTTTATTTTCAAACGCTCTTCCTCTGTTAATATTATCACTAGAAATCATAATAAATCCTTCGCACCCCGAGCACAAATTGCTTCACATATAAATAAAACTCATAAATAAACAAAAGAAAAATAAAGATTTACCCTGTTTTCACACTTAGCAAGCAATTTTCTCTTGCCAAGATCGTACAGCCTTACTTTTTTCCCCACACCAGCTAGCGCCATTCCACGGAAATCATGAATGGCATTTACGACCTAAATGAAATTTTATATGCACAGCTTAAGGAATATCAAAGATACTACATAAACTATTATTATAGTATTAGAAGCAAAAAATAACATCTATGAATTACTGTTTAAGCAGAAAATTAAAAGACTGAAATTTATTTATTCATGCATCATAAGAAATACGCCTTCAACTATTTATTTTCTGAATTATTGCTTCTTTGAAGCTAAATATTTTAAATTCAAAAAAGGAAAGAAAGAAACAGAAAATAACTTCATCGGTTGGCGTTCTGTGCAACAGTTGAAGTGTGGTACCATTAGCTGCCAGCAGGAAAGTATAAATGCATCCCCCATTTGCCTTTCTAGGCTTCAATTGCAAATCACAACCGCAACCAACTAATACAAACTGTGTGTCGCTTTGGTTTTGAAACTGTACCATTGCTATTCTGAAATTCAACAAGTTCAGCCACATTGCTGGGTCATCGTTTCATTCTCCCAACTAATATAAAACATGCTTCATATTTGTTTCAAATTTCGACAACAATTAGTTGTCAAAATTTTCTTCAAATAACTATGCATATTTCAATTTTTTAAAGAATACTTCAAAACTTACGCAAACGCAGCTTCATCTTCAGCGAATGGAAAATGTGAAAGCGTCTCACCATCGTTACTGCGCATAACTCGAACTGTTGAAGCCCATTTACCTAAAAATACGTCTTCAAGTACTTAACAGTGGAAAGCTTTAAGAAGTGTTACAATCTATATCTCAACGTAATTATATGGCCGGCAAGCATTTAAATCACTATTGGAAGGTGCATCGCAATATCAACTGACAATGTGAATAATAACAAAAGTAAACCCGGAACTTTGCTTCCTGAATGCTACCTTTTTGATTTTTTGGTGATCCATAAACTCTTTCATCAACTTTTTCAGTACGAATTGCATCCGCCATTTCTTTTACCGCTTGTTGGTCTGCTTCTTCCGCCTCCTTTGCTACTTCCATTAATTCCTGAAATTGCTGCCACAGAATTAACCAAGATTATACAATTTTGCTTCATTACGGTTTTTGACATCCCAAAAAGCAAAAAGAAGATGAATCACATATGTTCCTGAGAGAACTTCGAACTCATTTTATCAGAAAAATTTTCGAGAAGAAAATACAAACATCTGCAAGCTGTTTCCGACGTTCCATTTTCCCTTTTACCGTGAAAGCAGCATGGTCATTTTCGATTATAATCAGATTTCCAGATGCTTTATGCACTACCATGCGCCGAGGCGTATAGTCCAGTGGATGTACAACGTGGTTAAAAACGGCTCCCAACTTTTCAAGTGACAAAATTCTGAGAACAAGGTAAAGTTTTTAGAAAAGTAAATCAAACATTAAAAAGTGCTCAAGTAAGTAAAAACTAGTGAATCAAAGCTTTTAAATTCTAAAAAAAACGAGTATTGTGAAAAAATCCTACGAATTGAAAATGAACTTTAAAAGTTACTAAAACCTTAAAGTGTTTTCTGCGATAGCTACAATTCCTTCCGGACATTGTTCTGATGAAAAACCGGCCGCAAATTCCAGAGCCGCATATGAAAGAGGAGTTAGATGGAATCTGCTTTGGTAATCGTATAAAAGCCAAGCTCGAGATGACGCAGCCATGATCTGAAAATAATTTGACAATTAGTTAAACTAAAGCATGCTAGAAAATGCTGTTGAAAAGCATTGAACAAGGAAACAAATCATTGGCTGATGGAGATTTGTGACTCGAAACATTAAGCACTGCAGGTATTCGTATACATTCTACTGTTCCATAAAAATTAACAATTCAGGTATTCGTATACAACTTAAATTAAAGCTGAATTTGAATAATCTTCTCATAAAGTGATAGAAATTTATATCAAAATAGATAAAAATAAACTAAATATGGAAAGCTTGACATACCGCATCTTTACTTTGTATTCTTACACGGAACAACTTTACACTTTTTGTTCCCAAATAGCGAGTTCTGTTATCCGTTAACTCACCTGTAACTTGATCCACAGTGGTTCGCAGCAAACATCCATTCTAAAATGTCGCACTTAATAATATTAAAGGGAACAAAATTTATGGCAACTCGTTAAAATGAATATGTAAGAAAATGTCCACAATTTTTAAATTTAATACATCAAAACACCATTTGACTACAACGATGTAATAAAATAGTGTTTTGACCTATTAAAATTGAAAATCAGTGGAATTTTCAGATTTAGAAAAATTCATGCTTTATATGTATTAATGAAAATCTTAAATGAATGAACCTGCAAACCAATATTTAAATGAACAGTTGATGCACTTTGCGTCTCGGTGCCAAACATTTCGAGCACAATAATTGATTCTGGTTCTGATGGTAATGCTTGCATACTAAAAGAGATTAACTTTCGTTGACTTTGGAAAGATCTAAGAATTTGAAAAGTCAGATTTTTGGAAGTTTCTCCTTAATCTCAGGAAGGAAATTGCGCTTCTTTAATCAGAAACAAAACTCATCTGTTTACAACTTTTGTCCAAATTAAAAAAAGCATTACCTGAGCGGTGAAAGACAATCCTGTGGATCCAAGGATATAATTCGTACTGTTTTATCCGCCAAACCCACAGTAAGAAAACGCGACCGTAACTCGCCTTCAGGAATCTCACTTAAGCTCATGCACAGGACATCAGCAGGTAATTCACGTCGCTCAGTGTATTCGTTCAATTGACCAGTCTGAAACGATGATAATAAAGTTAGCAAATCAGTGTTATTGAGCAAAAAAAAAAGGAAAAGCAAAAAGACAACTTACTCAATGCTAAGTCATAAAACAAATACAAAATGATGAAACAAATAAGGAAAGAAGCATCCTACCACGTCCAGTTCAAAATACACCAGTTCACCACCGGCAAGTGCGATTGCCACTTGCCTTCGATTCAATGCACATTTCATAATTGTACGTTTACCAGGTGCCTTCCACTCATTAACTCGCCGATCAGCCCTAATATGTCGAATACCGTCCGGATACACCTAGAATTATGCCCATTCAAAACTTTTTGAGTTTTATTTGCCAAATAATCATCTTTCCTTGGAAAAAAAAATCTCAAGAAAACTGCGAAGGAAACACTACTAACCTGCAACAAAGCATCGTCGCCAATAAGTGCACACCCAAGTGTCGGCGTCGTACCAAGAAAGCCAGAATCCGTAACTTCTTCGACAGTTTCACCAATAGATAATACCAGTGTTGCATTAACGAATGATACAACGATATGAGAATCAAATTTATCTAAAATGAAGTGTTCGTTATTCATAAACACTTTCTTTTGCTGCAAAATCGGAATGAAAACGAGTTTTCCAAACTTTTCTGTTGGATGTTAACTCATACTCACAAATTATAATGACCTCCGAAATAATTATTTATAGGTATATATACGAAACTATCAACAGAAGTCCACTGAAGCAGCAAGGTATTATAATCTAACTAAAATTTATCTATACACTTACAAGTTAATAAACTATGAAACTTACCATCAATATTCCGTTTTACTGTCCAAACTGCATTCGGATTACCAGGCAATTCAGATACAGCCATTTCCGTTACTTCCAAACCATTGCGCAATACTTTGACTGCTGAAAGTGCACCACGTCCTACTAAAGTGTAAATTTGAGGAGAATCTTCATTAGCCAAATCGTCAATCTGTAAAACAGGATCAAATGATTTCAGAGAAAAACCTGAAAAAAGAGATATGGTATAATCGAAAATATCGAAAAACTAACCATACAATGTGTACTTTAAAACTAAAACTCATTAAAGAAATTTCATATCACTCCTCTTAAAAAATAAGAAATGAAGGAAGTGGCGAATGATCTATATAGGGTAATTCTAGAACTCACGTAGGAAGAAATAAGCGGTGATAAGCTATCCATTTGGTCAACAATTGCCAAATTTGTGAGCCCACGAGGAGCGAAAAAGAAGGTTTCACCCTCTTCCAACTGCATTCGAGATGAAAATTCAGGTTCATCATCTTCATCACCCAAATGTGCTATCTGATATAAGTGACTGAAATGCAAAACTATTATCAAATAATTCAAGTTAAACACTGGACAAAAAGCATATCTTGTTTCTAACAAATGAGTATAAACACAAAATAGCAGTGTTCAGAATTCGAACAGTACCTAATATATTAATGATAAAAAAAAAAGTATATGAAAGTGTTGGACCAAAACTACTGCTTGTTCTAGAGTTTGTTCTTCGCTAATATTAGTAGGTTAAATGATTTAACATTAATCAAAAAAGCAATCATTAAAGCAATTACAAAGAACATACTGATTTCCGAATTCGCTTGCAGTGAACAAAAATCCTGTTTTTAAAATACACATAGCATTCGAGACTGGTATCGTGTCGAAATACTTGATTTTAAGTTCGGTAACCTAAGACTCAAAAATTAGATAAACAAATAAAAAATTCACTTGATGTCTCATGTTCCATTAGCTCAATGTGTATAACGGAAAAAAGAAAATGGATGGTCATGAAACCTATCCAAATGAGTGTCAATGGAACGTATATTGTTTTTATGACTAAATGAGTATCGAATTTAAAAACCGATAAGCTCAAGACTATTAAACTGACTTAATACGGTGAAGTGCTAAGCATTACAGTCATCGCTGAAACTTCTATGCACAAAAAGAATGGTAGAGAAATTGTCAATAAAGGAGGACTAGTTTTTAGAAAATCACTTAAGGAAACAAAAAAAGAGCAGTTTACCCATTATTTATTTCAATAACCAAGGAATAAAGGAGACCATGTGTTATCAGAGTATGAACCAAAATTGCTTAAATTTTTAATTTTGAAAAGGAATAACTCACAATATCATGCTCACTTTCCAGTGTAACTTTAAAAATATCACCCTGGTCAGTTTGTACCAAGAAGAAGTACATCAATTTTGTCTTATGTGTTGCGGAACATACAATAATGACAGTGCGATCACAATCATCCAATTCATTCTAAAAAAAGAGAAAAACTCAAAGCTAAATAATTAAGATTAGTCCACAACAAATGTTTCCCATAAGTCACTAATGTTATTGTTTCCAACAATGAAAAAAAGACTAATCAAAACGAAAAAGTCTGCGTAAACGAACCCTTCTTCGTGGTACTGGACATTTGATATCTGGTTGATCACCCAAATTTTTATAAACAAGATAATTTTCGCAACAAACAATAACACCACTAGGCCCATCTTGTCCACCAGGTACTGTAAAACAAACCAATTTATATATACCAACTAAAATCCAATTATTATGAATTTATCTCTAAAAATTTTGATTAGGAAAGATTTTAAAACAAGCATGCCTGAAATCAGAATATTTCCCTTATCAACCAATGGCTCAGCATATTTGCGTACTACGTGGTTCAAACCAAGATCCAATTCATAAAACGTTAATGTCTGAGGAATTTTGGTAGCCAAATGTCCAGTAGGATCGTGATCAACTTCCTTCAAATCATTATTTCATTACATACTACTACTAAATCTTAATCAAAAGCGAGTAGATTTTAGATAACAAATAAATAAATAAATAATTTTAATCAAATTGATTGGTAATGTTCTGAAAAACGCTATGAAATATTTGCATTACTCAAAAATAAGCCAAAAATGCGTCCACATATCACATTTCATTTCTATTAATGTGCTAAAGTTCAAAAAAAGTAAATATATTCGTTAACAAAGATATATTTCCATGTGCCGTCATTTACCTCGTAATCAACTTCTAAACATGCAAAAGTAGGATTTTCGAATCCGACATCCACACCAACAACACTGTAACAGATGCAATGAGATTTGTGTGCTTCCAGCGGCGAACTGATTGTTAAATTAGCCGATGCATCCCGATTCATAATATACACCAATTTCTGACGCTCTACGGCACCTGCGACAAATCAATTACTTAGAAATATTTTATGTCAACAACCACTTAGTGCATGAATTCTCTAAGAATTAAAAGTAAAAAAAAAATGAAAAATGAGAGCAAAAGTTGTGCCCTGTTTTCGTGTTAAACAAATAATCTAATAACTAACAGTTGCGTCGGTATACAGTTAAGTTATAATCTTTTTTCAGCAGATTTACATCACCTCATAAGCCAGAAGTTAAGTACGATAAAGAGACATTTCTAATCTAATATCAATACGACACTTATCATTTTAAAAAATGTTTAACTATATATATATATATATATATATCCCTAACACAACTGCACATTGGTTCAGATTAATGAAAAGGATCGTGATTTTTGTCGTTAATTCATTCTCCTTAATCTCTTTTCAATTAATCTCAAACACTTAATTTACAACCGTTCAATATCAGAAACTTAAAAAAAGATAAATACTGTATTTAGAAAGTTCCTGAAAACATAGCAAAACAACTGATGATTATTCATAGATGTAGTAAATTGTTACATATATTAGCTTTGCCAAAATAAAAATTAATTACATTAACGAACCAACTAAAATATGATACTCCAAAACACTCACCAATCAAGATTGCACGTCCTTTGGGATCAACAGCAAGAAACTGTCCCGGAACAATTCGTCGACAGCCAGTTTTCCCGAATGTTTCCTGGTGAACTCTTTCAAAACACACTTTCTGTGCATTATATTCCAGAATTACAATACGTCCGGCATCCGAACCAATAACAATATAATCTATAAGAAATTTTTTGAGCGTACATTTTTAGAATTTCTTGCCTTAATTAAAAAAAAAAAAATGTCTTGAAAATCTACTTTTTAAGTTAGTAAAAAAAAGGACGAAACTAAGCACCAACAAATCCTATATATTTAAAAATCATAATCAAAAAATACAAACCTTTGCTTCCTCCAGTTAAACGAAAAGCCAACAACGATCTTATAATACCAAAGGCATTATGACTGCATAAAACATGAATTTTTCCTGTTTTCGGATCACAAAACAATAACTGAAGAAGATTGCCGCGCGCAATGCATACTTCCTGCAATACAAACAATTTAATCATTCGTTCAAACACTTCAAGCTATGAACATTTTGTTTAACCAGGTGATTTATAAATCAACAAATCGAAATTAATTGTTTAATAGTAACTCCTACAGTCTTTTGACGGACTGATAATTGTTAGTTCCTTTAGTTAATCAGCATAACCTGGTAAGTTAAGTTAGTTACATAAGAATGCTTTAATCATTCTACATGAAGCAGACATAAACAAATCGAATTGCTCAAAAAACCATTTCGCTTTTTTTTTTGTAATTCACATTCAAGTTTATGCATAATAAATGGAGCCTCATATATTTCTTCTTCTTTTATCAATATTCTTTTCATTTATTTAAGTAATTAATAAACTACGTGAATCCACTCTAAATAAATCCTCCTCTAAGAAAAGTGGAATTAATAAATTATAAGTGGAGCATCACACTTAATTTACAATATCTGCTGTTTCTATTTAATAAAGTTCATGCTTTTCCGCTTAATTTCAGCAATATACCTGTTGTTTTGGCAAACCGCAGAAAGATCCATGAATTGCTTGGTTGATTGCTGATGAACCTTGCAATGTTAAGTTGTACAAATACATAACTTCTTCGAGTTTCACTTACTTTTATCTCACACAACCCTGAAAATCTATAATCTGACATTTCATAAACACATAAAAGTTGCTATCAATAATGAACAAAAAGCAACGAAGTATACCATTATAACCAGTGTTACAGTAATAAGTAATAAACATTTACTTCAATCAACGTTAACAGTAAATAAACCATCCGGAATACCGTGGCAGCATGAACGGACATATTGTGTTACTTTCATAGTTACTTACTTGAGCAATCATACCTACTCATTATAAATTTGATATTGGGAAATCAGTTTGTCGTCCAGAAAATTACTACTACTTTAATACTACTAATATCTTTACCAACTAAAAACTGTATAGCACAGATAATTACCCCATCTCTTCCATCCTATCAGTTAAATGCTCTCAATCACTGTTACAACTACTAGCTGCAACAATTTCACCATTCTCTCACTCTATCACACCATTATCTTTTACCACTTCCATCAATCTCTGCAATATCCTTAATTACACATTCTCTTTTCCTTCATTTCCCCAGACTGCCTCTGTCTCAGCATACAGCAATATTTCTTGAACTGTCTAATGCTTAACAATAAACTATTTTGCTGTTTCTTATTATTCCAATACTCTCCATTTCACACACTATCCCATAAATTCAGCAGTTCAGACTAATATGACGAAATCGACAGTTGCATGCAACGAACCATGAAATGAACTACGTCCAAAATTACCGTGTAATTAAATAAATTGAATTTGAAGCAATTTGAATAGATTGCATTCCGTGATTTTAGATGTGGGTAAAGTTGTTTTAAGAAAAAGCAGTAATTATTATATTTTATGATTAAAAGAAGGATTTTCTATTGCTTTGATATCATTAATACAACTTCCCTAAATGTTACTTCACTATCATTTTGTTAAATTACTTTTTAGAATCATTTCATTTTATATGCCACAACAATTATCATAATTAATTAAGAGAACTCTAATTAAAGAATGCTTTTGAATAAGTTTAATATCTTATCACTTATACATCAATTCTTACATGCTGCTTTAACAGCTATTGTTTTTTTTTTTTTTTTCAAGAAATAAGTAATACATATATCAAGGAATAATTGTTCTAAGCCATAGCTGAAAATAAATTGCTTTTATTAAAGTTTATTTGTGAAGTGAAAAGCATCATGATAAATCATTTCCGTTGAATTTATTATTTTCATAATTTATTTTATTTTAAACTATGACTACAAATAAAGTTTTTTCAAGATGTGCGGAATTCTGCTTGTAAAGCAATATGACGAAGCAATTGACAATGATAGAAATATTTTGAATATTATTTCTTCGCAATTTCTACACCGTTAAAATTCATTCTTTCGCCATTTCAATTATAAATGAAAATTTAAGCTATTAAATGAAACACAGAAATTTTACTATTTGTCTACTACATTCATTTACATCATTTTGATATATCAAAAAAGCAGGAAAGAATGATACTATTGAATCATTTAAAAAAAAGTTTATCACTTTTCAACACTTCTTTCTTTAGATGAATTTCCAATTTTAATAAATAGTTGAAGTGTTAAAATTTGCAAACTACAAAAAAAAAAAGTAGAATAGACAGTTAAATCGTACTATATATTTTGAATTATCATTTCTGATATTCGATTTAATTTTGCTATTTACGTTAATTTGATAGTTACATAATATCAATAAAAATGGAATATTATCAAACAAAATTTTTTTTTTACTACAAAATACTATAAATTTGGAATATAACTTTGAAAAAAAAAAAAAAAAAGCTCAAAGTACTATTACCTATAGTAATATTTTGTTATATTTTTACCGAAAAGATCAAATCAGTGTTAAAAATTTAGTAGCATACAAAATATTAACAAATAGAAAGATAAAAAAAAATGATTTAAAAAAAGAAAAAACATTCATATTTTCAAACATTATTTCTAAAATTAAATCAATAAAAAAAAAAAAAAAATAGATTAAAAAATTGCAATAGTTTTGGGCTTTATTTTTTCTTCTTTTTCTTGTTATCATTTACATTTCAAAAATTTTCCAACAATGAAATGAAAATTTTTAAGCATTTATAAATAAATTAGAAAAATACTAAAAATAAAAATATAGGAATTTTAATTTTGAATTTCGTAAAATTCACACAATAAATACATTCACTTTTATAATATAATATAAAAGTATTAAAGGTAAAAATTAGTAACACATTGAACTAAAGTATTATATACTTTGTTATGATTACACATTTGTTATATGATTTATTAAAATTTCAAGTATTTATTTGCATACATACATATATTTATATGTATAAATTTTAATCAACAAATTTTTGAAAACATGAAACATATACAATGAAAATGAGAAGCCACGATTTTTTACAATAATATAATACTTACTTACTTTTTTTCTTTTTCCTTCCTCCCTTTTTTTTCTTTTTTTTTTTCTTTGTTGTTTATTATTATTATAAATTATTAAAATGTAAATAATACTTTTATATACAAATGTATAGAATTAGCATAGAATACAGTGAAAGACTGGTTCTTCACATTCAACCAATATTTATTATACACATAGAATTTGAACAATGTCAAAATGCTCATTCTTTGCATTGTCAATGCAAAGTTAAATTTATCTATCAAATTTAACAAATTTCTCATTCAACTCTTTTTCTCTTCTTTCTTCTTTCATTTTCTAACAAATATTATAGTTCATACAATTTATATTTGTTAATAATTAATCCATTATTTATTAGAAATTAACTAATTTTCAAATTTACTAAAAGTTTTTCAAAAAAAAATTAGTCAAATTTAACTGTGAAAAATTTTCATAGTGCTTGAATAAAATCAGTATATTTTTTTGAAAATTTCAAGAATTGAAACATCACTTATTGATTATTAAACACGTATAAGGTAAACCAATAGTTGTACAATTAGCACAAAGATTTTTATTCCATTAAATGACTGAACAATTTTTAAAATTAAATTATAAACTTCATATAAAAAAATATGAAAAGGATTCTTAGCTGTTTAAATAAATTTTTTTTTCCAAGATTTAATATGAATCCATTTGAAAATTCAAATTCATCACCATCTTCTTAACAATCATTCTTTTTAATTAGCAGTTATTAACTATTTGTTATCATTATTTCTTTCTCAAAATAATTTACATTTTCAAAATTATTTGTTCCATAGGTTGAGATCACGTCATTAAATCTTAGATGAAAAAAAAAAAAGAAAATCTAAACGAATCTTTCATTCATTTCTAGCAGTTAAATCATTTTTTAGCATTTATTTTGTTTTTTGTTTTTAATCTTTTTACATAAATTATTCGTAAAAATTTACCAGCATTTATGGAAAAACTAATAAAAATAACAAAAAATGTAATAAATAATAAATAAAAATTAAACGAGTAATTTTTATGAAATCAAAATTTTCAGAAATAATACAATTATCCAAATATTACTTTTTTTTTTCTTCTAATGTTTAATAATTTTCATCATGTTTATTTATTATTGAAATTTATTGAATTTTTTTAAAAAGTTGAATAAACTGGTTTGCGGTACAATTCCTTTCTGAATTTAGTCGAAAAGCAAAAAAAAAAAAAACTTTTGAAGCATCAATAATTTAATGGGATAATTGATTTGATGACAGTTTTTTCTTTTTTTTTTTTAGGATATTAAGCAGTGATATTATTTTATATGTTATTATGACATTATTAATCAATTAGGTAATATTAATAATAAGCAAATTTTTTTTTTTTTTTGAAATTATTTTTGAAATATTAGAAGATTTAAATTAGTATATTATTTTTCACATTCAAAAAGTTTTACAGAACGACTAATGTCACCAAATATGACAACAATTTCTGCTATAACAAATTCATTGACAAGCACAGTACCATCATTCATTGTTGAAAACTTCCGTAATAAACGACAATTTTGGCACGATTATAGTTACGATAGCTATTACGGATATGGATTGTATGTTTGTAAATAATTTAGAATTCTGTCAATGTCAATTATTTGATACAGAAAAGATAAATTATTAAATTTTTTTATTACTCAAAAATAAAAATCAAAAATAAATGAAAAATAAAGAAATAATATTTTATGAAATATTATTTCTTTTTTTTTTTGCAATCATTTCAAAATTTTTGCTTCATTTTCTTACAATAAATAAAGTGTCTTTCCATTTAAAAAGAGAAATTGAATTTATAATTTTTCAAATAAATAGTTTGCAATGTTTTTATTCAAAAAAATTTTTTTAAAGTTTAAATTAACTAAAAAAAAAATTTTATTAATTTTAGCCAATGGCATCGAGTAATCCTCAGTATTCTGTTCTTAATAGCATTATTCCTATGTTGCTTGGTACCTTGTATATGTGCGCTTGGAATTTGGTTCGCAGGTTGGTTTGGACTACGTAATCAGGCTACCAGTAAAGGTAACATTAATTCTCCGGTTGCTACAAATGCCTATACACAACAACAGCAACAACCTGTTATACCACCACAAGAAACTGTGATACCGCAGAGTAAGTTGTATATTTGAGATTATCTCGAAAATTCGTTTGCAGTTAATATTTTAAAAAACTCAATTGAATTAAGAGAATTTTCTATGAATTTAACAAACGAAGAAAGAAGAAGAAACCACATAAATTTCAATTTATTTGGTATTTTTAAAATCATACTTAAAGTCGTTCCAGATTCCGCACCAACTGGATCAGGAAATTCTCGAGAACGTATGGACTCTTACATTTATGAGGAAAAACGTAGCGATCGCTTTTATCATCGACCTCCATCGCCACGTTTACATGATGACTATCGACGACCTTTCACGTCTTCCAAACTGTAATCTGTAAATTTGCTTCGCTTCTAATCACTGTGATCTTCATTTGCACCTTTTAAAAACTTTACATGAAATAAGTGCTAAGCGTAAATTACAATTCACAAAATATGCATCCATTCAATTTCATTTACTCCAATAAACTAAACTTTTGGTCCTTTCAATTTAATTTCTCGACTTTTTTCAAGGACAAATTTAACAGTTTGGCATGTATACAGACTATCTCAAGGCCTATGAACCTTAGTTTATTCATTTGTTTGCTACATACTAATCTATTTTAAGAAAATATTAAAACAGATTAATATGTTATGAAACACGCAATAACTGCTTCCTATACAAATTATATTTTGCCTTTAAATTTAAATAATGCAACACTGTCAACATGACATTTAACATTTTTTTAAATGAGGCAATAATATATAAGGCTAAACAAATACTATATATATATATATAAAAGAAAAATAACTCCCCTCATTCTACAGAATAATTCTTAGCATTTGGAAAGAAAGTTTGGAAATAGAAAGTGGAAAACCATTTCAAATAATTTGTTGTTCATTTTGATGCATTGGCACTTCGGCGAAAATAAAACAGTAATAATTCAAAAAATCAATTAATACTTCATACTGTTCCTCAGTATGATGTATGAGTCCCAATGCTTTTATCGATAAAAACATCATCCTAATTTGTAATGAATTTAGCATAATATTTATGATAAACATGACAAAACTGAAACATCCAGGGTTTTCCAGAAATTTTATAGAGGAATTAATATCTCAAGATCCTAATGATTTTCCGAATCAGTTGACATTTTTTCCTGTAAAATTCCGTTTGCAGTGCAATAATTAACAGACGAAAATGTTGCAATTTTTTCTGGTATGAATGAATATTCATTCGAAATGTTTCCGGAAAAGCTCGGAATTAAAAAGCAAAGAACATAAATATCAATTTCTACTAATCAATACTTTTAAATCATTCTATAAAGTAATCAAAGTTTTCGGAATACAATGACTCTGGAAGGACCAACAAACTGAATATTTATGTGATTAAGAGAAATATGGGAAAGATGAAAATTTATTATTTAAGAAGTCCTAAAACCTTTCCTTTTCCCAGTGCAGTCAATGAGTAAATTACCAACTTTGAATGCAAAACAAGAAATCAATAAAAGCAATAATTAGGGGTGACCATTTCTATGCATGTAACATTAATTTTGGGTAGAAAAATTTAAATTATCATAAAACACTAAAGAAAATATGCAGCAGTTTTTTCTTCCTGTTCTTTCCTTCAACTTTTATTAACCAATTTCATTAGACCATCAGTTGAATGAGATTTGGGACGTTCGAGTGGCAAGCCCATAGCACGAGACCATATCATCTGTGATAAACAACCGAGTGCACGTGAGACACCAAAAAGCACCGTATAGAAGGACATCTCTTTCATGCCATAATATTGAAGCAGCACTCCAGAATGTGCATCCACATTTGGCCATGGATTCTTGGCCTACAATAATCATAATAATTTAAACCTGATGTATTTTTGTAGGTCGACAAACCATTTCAATGGTTTTTCTAAATCACTTGGAGTCCTTACTGTTCCAACCAAGTCTAGGAAATGTTTTCATCCCAATCATGAAATTCTTCAGAGGACTAAATTACAAAATTCTGGATACTTTTCAACGTCTCATAATTGTATCGCACCTTTCCTTGCTTCAAAAGGATATCAGGAGTAAATTCATAAAGCTTTGAAACGAGATGGAACATTGGATCCTTCGGAAGATGCTTCAAGGCAAACTCTCGCTGGCACGTGTATCGAGGATCTGTTTTGCGTAGTACAGCATGACCATAACCCGGTACTACCTGAAATAGTACTACTCAAATACTCTTGAAATTTCGGTACCGCTGATTTATAGTATGATGAATATTTCTGAAAAGATTATCTGAAAAGCTTATGTTAAAATTCCACCTGTCCACTTTTCAAATGATTCCATATCCAGTCACGCAACTGTTGATCAGTGTAGTTATCGCCTAGTTCTTTTCTGCACTTTGTTAAGAACACCAGCACCTAAAGTTAAGAAGTTAAGAAAAGAGTAATTTATTGAGAAAATAAAATAAAAAAATCCAACTGCGATATTTTTATCTTTTATGGCTTTACAAATAATATTATTTGAAAATTAAGTGACCGGAATATTATGTTGGAGAATGGAAAATATTTGATTAAAAATAATGGAGAATCTTTAATTAAATATAAAAATAACCCTTTTGAATATAGAGAAACATTATCAAATAAGCAAATTAAAGATATAATTAATGCCATAGACAGCTAGTAATCGAGCAAATTAAACCTCTTGATTGGCCAGACCATGTAACGGTCCAGCAAGTCCACCCATAGCAGCAGAAAACGATAAATATGGATCTGCTAACGCGGAGCTGACTAGATGAGACGTATGCGCAGAAACGTTACCGCCTTCGTGATCGCTATGAATTGTGAGATACAAGCGCATAAGTTCAGTGAACTTTGGATCATTAAAACCCAGCATTGATGTAAAATTGGCAGACCAATCATTCGATGAGTTTACTACACTTGCCAATGTACCTGCAACTGGCAAATATAATTTCCAAAAAATTTCAAAATTTAATACATGTTAATTTTATTATAGTTTAATACATTATATTATGCTAGAAATCTTCAATAAAATAATTAATAAAATAAAGAAAAATAGCAAACAATAAATGGACTTCACTTAAGTTATTCAAAAACCTACCATCTCTGTATAAATTTCGATAAATAAGTGCAGCAATTGTAGGTAATTTTGCAAGAAGTCTCATAGCATCTTCATATACAAACTCCCAATATTTCGCTTTCTGTACTCCTTTACTGTAGGCCTAAAGTATGTTACATTATACTTCTAAATGAATAATAAATAGAGAAGTAATGTGTCACTAGCTCTAACTACTTGTTTCTAAATTTCGTTTCATTTGCTATAAATTCATGAATTTTTTGCATGAATTAGTTCTGTAAATACCCAGCTTCTAAAAATTCGCTAAAATAAATTTACATTCAAGCATGAATAAAAATTATTGCTCATACATACTTCGGCAAATTTACTGTCACAATTAAGAGCGGCAATAGCCGACACAAACTGTGCCATAGGATGCAAATTATTCGGAAAATTACAGATCATTTGTTCGACATGCTTTGGTAGATCTGCATGAGCAGCCCATTCCTTACTGAAATTATATTAAAAAATGACTCTATCAAAATGCTAGTACGCAATGCAACGAAAATGAGGGAAAAGGAGAGAACACAAAATGCAAAACTCTAAAAGATCTCTGAAGTGTTTCTGAAAAATAAGAACTAATCGCTAGATTTTCCGTATATAATTACTTACCAAATATATATCAAAAATCTATAGAAGGTGACTGCATTTCTGATCTTAATTATCAATGTTAATAACAGCATGCAATTTTATTTCGCGGAAAATTTTCAAATATTTAAGCAATTTAGTTTAACTTTCATGAATATTAAATCTGTTTTAAATTACCTTTAAGGGATTAAAAAGTTAATGACACTAATGAAAATACCTGATTGCTGTAGTTTGTGCCTCAGTTGGAATATCACCAGTGCACAGCAGCCACCAAATCCCTTCCGGTAATGGTTCTTCACCTCCTTTTGCCTTAGGCAACATTTTTTGGCATTCCGGTATAGAATAACCACGGAATCGTATACCTTCTTCTGGATCTAGCACAGATGTCTCAGTTACCAGCGCCTGAAAATTGATTTTCATCGAATTCTCGTTTCAAAAAAGCCACTTTTTCTGAGTGTTCCTATGGATACTTGCATAATAAGTGTCACCGCTTCTACTCAAATTATAGAATGCTTCATAATTACTAATAAAAACCCATTTGAAACCTCGAATTAGCTTATTTATAAACTATAAGAAAACTGCAATTATCACACTTCCTTTTCTAATTTTTAGAAAGTAGAATATAAATCAAACATAATGTATCGAAATAACAACAAGCAAAAAATTCAGCCATAAAAATCACTTTTTAACCATCCGTGCCACTTTGAATCTACATGAAAATAGTTACTGGCACTCATAAATTTAAATTTCAAAAATCATGTAATAAAATTTTCAATATAGAACGATCAGCTAAAATATAAGTTAGAAAAAAAAGAAACCTTCAAAGTCCGCATTCCACCATAAAGCATATCTACAGTTACATTTTGAATTACCGTTGCACCATGCTGTTTTCGAAATTCTCGGACTTTCTCGTTATGAATTGAAATTTTTTGTGCAAGCACCTATAATTAGGCGAAGTGAAATTCAAAATTTTTTAAAATTTGAAAATTTTGTTGGCAGCAGTCAAAATTATTGGTCTGTGTCAATGGTACATCTCGTAACCAATAATTATGACTTGGTAAAACTGCTTTAACATCAATGGTTCGAATGAGGAAAGATGGTCTAATAAGGAATGTCACCTCCTCAAATTCAATATCTCAATACAATTGAAATAACCCATATTATCAAAAAACATGAAAAAGCTAACTTCTTTAAGATTTGTAGTTGAAGCCGCTGTTGAATATTGTAAGAAAGCTGTCAAACCCTGCAACTGTTAAAAATGAATGGTAAAATTTTCAGAAATGAGAAACTTTACTACAGACAGAAAATATTATCTTTCTTTAAGCAAAATACCATGGTCCCCATTTATCCAGGAGACCTAATTAAGCATATTTAGTAATAAGTAATTGATTAAATTCAACAGCACATACTTTTAATTGACAAATACGAATCTTCGCAGTAAGAGCCATTACACATAAACACCGTATGTTTTGCGAGAGATATGCAAATTCCAAACACAACTGAAATTTGAAATCATAAATACGTGCACGTAAAGGACATAGAATAGAAGATGCAATCCGATGGCATAAATCTTAACGTTGATGAAACGATGAAAGCCTAGCAATAAACAATAAAAGCTTAGAAAAAGAATAATACGTCCACTTCGGTTTAATAAGTTTAAAAAAAAAAAAAAAGATTGGTGCAAAAATAAAATACACCTAAACTGTGAATTTTGGATCATTACAATTACAATTAAAATAAATTCATGAAACCTTGTAACTTATTTTTGCTTTCATCTATTTCTTCACACTAAAAATTATCATGAAAAAGATAAGAAATCATAAAACTACAATCACTATTAACAATACAGTGTTACAAAATAAATATGTCATCTAGAAATAATGAAATAGAGGAAGAAGTATTTCAGTAATAATCATTAAACATTTAAGAATTCAAGCTCAAATATGAACTTCAAATCAATGAACGAATTGATATTACTACTTTTTAGCATTAACTAAGTGAGAACAGAAGAAGCAAAATGAAGTAATATTGATTTTGGGAAGCATACAGCACTAACTAAATAAACATTCTTCCATAATAATCCGTTTTAGACTTATCTTACTATATTTATTCAATAAAAAAAAAAATTATTTTTGAAAAACACTTTTTAAAAATTAATTCATTTACGATGTGTTTACGCAAGCACATGAATATTTCAGTGAATTCTGTAAAATTTAAATTTCAGATGACTAAAGTGTTTTACGTCATCAGCACTATGCAATATTTCAGTGAATTACTGTAAAATTTAACTGCATTTCAGATGTGTAACTATGAAGTAGTTTTACCTAGCGTCTTTCTGATGAAGCAGCGTAACTACGTGCTGCATGAAGCTATGTTTTCTGGAAGCATTTACGTGTAACTTGAAGCCTAAGATACGTGTTTGAAGCCCACATGCAAAGCGTCAATACGTAAAGATATACATACTGCATGAAGCCTAGCGTCAGCACAGCGATACGCGTAACTGCATGAAGCCTAGCGTCAGCACAGCGATACGTGTAACTGCATGAAGCCTAGCGTCAGCACAGCTATACGTGTAACTGCATGAAGCCTAGCGTCAGCACAGGGATACGTGTAGCTGCATGAAGCCTAGCGTCAGCACAGGGATACGTGTAGCTGCATGAAGCCTAGCGTCAGCACAGGGATACGTGTAGCTGCATGAAGCCTAGCGTCAGCACAGGGATACGTGTAGCTGCATGAAGCCTAGCGTCAGCACAGGGATACGTGTAACTGCATGAAGCCTAGTGTCAGCACAGCGTGTAACTGCATGAAGCCTAGCGTTAACACAGCGATACGTGTAACTGCATGAAGCCTAGCGTTAATGCAGCGTTACGTGTAACTGCATGAAGCCTAGCGTATACGTGTAACATGCAGATACGTGTAACTTACAACTGCATGAAGCCTAGCGTCATACGTGTAACTGCATGAAGCAGCGATACGTGTAACTGCATGAAGCCTAGCGTTACCTGCATGAAGCGCGTCAGCACAGGGATACGTGTATGCATGAAGCGCGTCTACGTGTCTGCATGAAGCGCGTCTACGTGTAACTGCATGAAGCCTAGCGTGGTGTAACTGCATGAAGCCTAGCGTGCACAGATACGTGGCAAAGCCTAGCGTAACAATACGTGTGTAAGCCTAGCGTCAACAGCGTGTAGCATGAAGCCTAGCGTTAACGTAACGGTGTAATGATACGTCTATTCTACGCACTAATATTTGGTTCAACAAAGAGTGGTAATTAAAAATTGTAAGAGGAACGTAGTCCGACAACAGCAGTAGCGGTGTGTTGTTGTCAGTTAAGCAGTACATCACCTCCGCCCACAGACACAGACTCACACACACATACATACATACATACGCATACACACAAACATGAATGTGTACATAACGTGCGTACACACATACACACATACAGACATGCACGCAGAAGTACACAAACAGACACACATGCACGTATACAGACATATAGACATCCTTACATATTGACAAGCAGACATATAGACATTCACGTAGAGAACGCGCACAATAATATTCACATACACTGACAGACAAATATTCAGATTGAGAGAGGGAGAGGGAGAGAGAAAATTGGTCAGCGACTTTTACGATGGTCAGTTTGCTATGGTCACTTGTGATTAGATTAGAGTTGTTTTTGCTCGATGAATTGTGATATTGGTTTGAATGAATTTATTTGACTAACTGATAAGATTGACTGCAAGTGATAGAGAATGAGAATGAAGTGATAAGAGATGAATAGGAGAGGAAGTAATGATTAATTTATCATTGCTGGTCAACAGAACCTCTCATCCAATTACTGAACGATTTCTTTTGTTGTTTTAGCGTATCACATCGGTTGGTTACATTTATCAAATACTGTCAACAATAACAGTGTCACCATTTCAATTTTTCATCAAACAACAACAATTCATTCTCTCTTAGATTATTTTCATATCATTGTCAAACAAAAAAAAAAAAAAGGAAGAAAAGTTCTTCCCACAAATTTTGATAAAATTTAATTAATGCTTCTTTTTTTTATATATAATTACTTACCTGTTGTTTACATTATTAAAAATGCTTTAGGGAAGTTTACTCATTGATGAATTGTGACTAAAATTTCAAATGTAAACAATAAAATTTATTATTTCTCTTCTAAATACTATCAAACATGGTACTATTACTTCATTTATTTACTCTGTAACAGATTTCTTCATCATAATTTGTTTCCATTTAATCAACAATTGATCCGAGTGAAATCAATGAGATTCATTAGATATAAGTTACTAATATATTTTATTGATTGATTGAATAGTGATTGAACAACATTCAATTCCTTTGAAAATATAATCAATTCGGAAAATATCTCAATTATTTGATTGCTTATAGCTTTGTAGTCACTGTTAGCTAAATGTCAAAACTGTTTTCCTGTTTTCTTTTTCCTCTTATCCGGCATAAAAACGGTTATTAGTAGTGTAACAATATCCTTTTCACAGTTTTATTCAATTTATGCCAACAATTCAAATTGTATTTGTTGAATTGCAACATGAAAAAAAAAAAAAAAGTCAACAATAATTTTCAATTCAGCACGAAATTTGTTTTCTTTTCTTCTCTTATTTACAAATAAAAAATTTACTTTATTAAAATTATCGAAATAAAAAAATAATAATAATTAACAAATAAAAAATAAAAAAAAGTAATCCGAAATTACCACTTAAAAATTTAATGTATCATTGAAACGATAAGCAACAATAAATAGCGTTTTCGAATATTTATCTGAAAAAAATGAGAAAATTCATTCATTCATTCTTTAGATAAATGATAACTATCTTTTCTCTCTTTCTTATCACTTCACTTTTAGTTGAAAAGATAAAATGATAAGAGTAGAATGTAGTTCAGTAATTAATTTCGCATCATTATGATTACTTGAAAATTTTCCTTTTTGATGAAAAAATAAGGAATAATTAGGGTTGATTTCATTTTTTTATCTTAATCATTAAGGAAATTTTTAACATTTACCTGTGAATTTAGGCGAGAAAGTTAAATTAAGGCAAGTATCATATTTTCTTAAAAATTCCGAAATGAAAATTTGATAGATTCCTGATACGAATAAACTTGATAGATTTAATTTTGAGGAAGAAATCCTGAAATCATTTCACTTCACACACAGATTGTCTATAGATTAGCGAAAATAAATGATCAAAGAAAAACACTAAATCAAAAACATTTAAAATTCTAGAATAGCTTTTGTTGCTGACATTTTCTCGAGAAAAATCATTCTCGAGAAGAATCATTCTTCTTGTGAATCATTCAACACTAATAGCCTTTATAATATTAAACAAAAAAAAAAGGAATTAATGAAGATAATAAGGAATGGATAGAATACAAAAGAAAATTGAAAAGTATGTCAATCATTGTTAGTGATAATCAAAATGTCAACTATGATCGGATGACAATATCATAAAGATTTAAAATATTTAATATGAAATCGCGTAATATGTGACACTGATAAAATGTCACATATTATAATCGCAACATAAAGAAGAGAATAAAATTGAACAGTTCAAGTGATTGATGAAATTTCAAAATTTACATTCAAATTTTTTTTTATTTTTATTTATTTATTTTTTCTTTTTGCAATTTGTTTGTGAAATTTTAATCAAAAAAAAAAAACTATTATTATTGTTTAAGAATTGAAAACTATTAGAGAATCATTTGTAACAGTTTGAAATTTGGTCAATGATTTCAAATTTTCAGTTACTTTCTTTTTTTAACAAAAATTAAGTTTTTATTGGATAAATTTTGATCACAAAAAAAAAGAGAATATTTAAGTGAAATTTTTTTAGGAAAAAAAAATTGAATATTTAGTAATGAATTTGTATATATGTTATAAAACTTTATGTAAAAATTTAGTAATTTGCATTTTTTTAAATTTTATATATACAAAAAAAAAAAAAAAATTTTCCTTTTTTGAGATTTAATTTTATTTATCATTTAATGTTTTATCAAAGAACGTGTTAAATGATATTAAATGTATGCTATCATTTGATTATTCATATTATTATTTGCAAATATCATTCCGTTTTCTCTCTCTTTTTTTTTTCACTTCTAAAATTATCAATTTTATCAGTGATGCATTGAAATGATAAATTATTTCTTATTTAATTTTTGAACTAAAAAATTTTGCAAAATTTTTATCACAATATATTTTGAATTATTAGTCATTATCAATTGGCAATAAATGATACAAATTTTTCTTTCATTAATTATATTTCGTTGAGTGCAAATGATTAATAACTTTTTTTTTCTCTTTCTCTCTCTCTCTCTCTCTCTCTCTCTCCTTTTTGAGACATTATGACGACAATTTTAATTTCATTTCAGTTTGTAAATAAATAGATAATTTGAAATAATAAATCTGCGATTAAAAGATAAAAATTAAAAGGAAAAGATTAAAAAGAGAAAAAACTGAAATTTTTATGAAATATTTAAAAAAAAACAAAAAAGGAAAAAATTTTATTAAATTAGCAAAAGTTACATTTTAATTTTGAGAGAAAATATTATATTTAGAATTTATGTTTGCATTTTTTTGTGCTAATTTGTGACGTAAAATTGGAAATAATTGATGCGAGAAAGAAATGAAAGGATTTCTTAGTTTATACTTTGAAGTAAGTCAATTAAACTTAAAAATCACATTAGCTAAGTAAGTTTAGGAACTATTTTAAAAACAAACTTTTAAATTAGTTAAGTTTAAGAGTTATTTTTTTAATGAATGAATTTAATCTTTCATTTTTCTGGAATGAAAGAGTTTAATACAAATAAGCATATCATTTGCCATAAGTATAAAAGAATGGGTGAATTTATTAAATTAAAAATCCTTAAAGAGATTTTAATTTTCTTTTTTTTTATTATATTCTAATTTTCTTAAAATTTTATTAAATTAATAACATCTGAGCATATCAAAATAAAACTCTTTTAGTTAAATGTTTTAATTTCATTTTTAAATGCAATTTAAAAAATTCCGAGTAATAAATCACTTCCGGTACGGACGGTTTACGAAAATGATTTCAGCATGAAAAATTATGGATTAGGATAAAACTTTCATTTGAAAATCACTTATAATAAAAGAAATTGAAAATTTTTCAAGTATCCTTCGATGTTAAAATTACGCTATCACGTGAACAGCTCATACCGAATAATGTTTGCTATTATTTTAGTTAAGTAAAATTAAGCTACCATTTTTAATTTTCTAATAGAAAAACGTGACTCATTTATAGATCACGTAGGCTGACGTGAATATTAATTGTATTTTGCAAAAGTTAACGTTTGTGGTCATTTTATTCGTCCTCTTTGTATACTGATGAAATAAATTTAATCGTAGTATTATTGAGTGAAATTAAGATTTAAATTTAAGTTTGAATTAAATTTTCCTTTAAAACATTTGAAAAAGTTCTTTCTTTTATCTTTTAAAGCTATCATATCAAAATTTGTTGAATTTTTCATTTCATCTTTCATCCTTTTGACCTAACATAATTCATTGAACAATTTAATTAATTCATTGCATTGAAGAAGTAATAAATTTTATTTAACAGATTGTATATTCCATGACAATCACTATTAATTTAATAAATTTTAATTGAAAAGTTTGAATTATAATTGCTTAAATTTAATTGACTTGTTTTTTTTTTTTTTTCAAAAAAATATTATTCCAACTGTAAAATGTTTTAATATCATAAGCATTTTTATTTATTATTTTTTTTCAAAAAAAAACAATAAATAAAAATTTTAATAAATATAAAATTTCATTTAATAATATCAATGAGAAATACTATAATATATCATTGACAATATTTATTTCACTCAATGACAAATAAATTTATGTCATCAAACTATGAATAATATTTTCAAATATAAATGCATCATAAATAACACACAAAAAAAAAAAAATTATTTTATCATCAAAAAGTAAGTAATTTTTAATCAAAAAAAAAAAAAAAAATTTCAAAGAATTGGAATGTTAGTTTAAATGGAAAATTTGTTGATCTTATAAAATGTCTTATTGAGAAAACATCATCAAATAATTTTCGTAT